CTCTCAGATCTGTCCAGCTGGTTACACCATCCCCAGTATATTGACAATTCTGTTCTGTAGAGTGTGAAAAGACAGAGTGAACTTACAAAACCTTTATATAATAATGTCTTTGTTTCCAGCATCCCATAGATGTACCATTATTTAGTTACATGTCTCATCCCATTTATTCTTCCAGTCTGGGAAGAAAAGCTTGCATCTTTAACCTTGCTGGGCATTATACCTTTGGCTTGCCTCCCCTCCCTCCCCTGGTCTAAATTTCACATTAACATCTTCTATCTGTAGCTTCAGGAAAGAAGACTAATTCTTATTTCCTCCCTCTCTTTCTCTATACCACTCTGAGGTGCCACACAAGGTACCCAGAAGTGTGGCTGTAGCAATAACAATTTAATTTTAATTTAAACAATTTAATTTAATTTGAACAATTTAAATTTAATTTATTCTCTGGGAATTCAAAGGCTGTCACCAGTGACTGTGACCTCACAGGAGCCTCCACCCCTGAGGGCCTTGTCCATAAGCACTCTCCATATCTTTCCTCCAGACACTAAACTTTATTTTTATTTTCTTACATATGTGATGCAAGGTACACAATGTTTGTGTTGCCTTCTTGCTGTGAGGCAGCCACTTACCACCCAGTGCTGTCCTCAGCCTGCTGTAAATTGTGGGCTCATTGCAGAGAACCAAATGGCCAGAGCACCTCCCTCTCTGCTTGCTGAACTCTGCTCCAACACAACACTCTTTTTCTGCCTCAAAAATAAATGTAAAGGTATGTATAGTATGTTAGCCCCTCCTTAGCCTTTCCCACCCTGAAACTTTTCAAACAGGGATGGCATGTTCCTCTCTTCACTGCCAAAAAAAAAAAAATAAATTCCTTTTGCAGCATTTCCCCCTTCCCCCATTTCTTCTCAGCTGACAGCTGTGAGAGTGGAACTTTCTTCAGCTATCCTATCCATTGCCCCCAATTCTGTTTTTAAGCTAGATTTGGTTTAAATATCCAAGCCATCTTCCACACTACAGGATTTTTTTAACATAAAGTGGCTTTGTAAATGCTTAATGTGGGTAGAGACATGACAACTGTTTTCATAGATATATATATATATTTCTTTTTAAAATTACATTTCTCCCTCTTCCCCCAGCAATTGAGAAAGCTGATAGGGAACTAAATTGAACAATACAGTCATTTTAGAAGTCACAGGAAGGCCAAAGTTTCATAATAAAGCAACTTTTTTTCAAAACTATCTCCTTATAACTGAAACTATCTATTCAGTTTTCAAACTGTTCACTTCTAACCAAACAAAAAATCTCATTAAGAAATACAGGCATCATATTCAAAACCTGGAGAGTAAAATGAAAATAGTGGAATTTAAGATACTTGTTGAACTTCCTGTTCTCAAGCATGCAAGGCCTGATACCTTTAGGTAGTTCTTCAGTTGGTTGTTGTGCACTTTGCTCAGACTGGGAGGTTTTCACTCCCTCTGACATAAACACCTACAGCACCTTTATGAGAACTTTACAGCTTTATGAGAAGGCAGTTTTCTGTCCTCATTGCCATCAGCCAGTGCACAAAGGAATGTAAGACAGGTACTTGTGCTTTAGTTGACTTTACAAGGCAGGACCCAAAGTATAAACATGTGCAGTTGCCTCTGCAGAATCCAAACACAATTTAATAATTAAAACATTCAGGGAAAGGGGGAAGGTTAGCTAGTCATTTTTCCATGGATTATCCCAGCTGCTTGTCCATGTGTTGGGAAATCTGGGTTTGATGCTGCTAAAATAGGATTGATGGTTCCATGACTTGTGAAATTTGTGAATTCACAAAATCACGTGATTTCTGGAAAATGTGTTCGGGATGCTTTGAATCTCCCTGTTCTGAACCCTTTTTTGAACCTGATATGCTATTAGAGTGGACCCAAGGGATGGAAATCATGTATGAACAGGTAGTGGTGAAAGTGGTGCTCATTTTCCTGTGACCTTAAGGATAAACAGACCTGAATCAGCAGATAGCAAAGTTCCTTCGTCCTTTATCTGTGTCATTGACTACAAGGAGATAACTTGACTTCAGACATTAGGGGTTTGCCCATTCAACATTAGTCTGTGACAAAATGGCATGAAAAAAAAAAAGGAAGATTATTTTTTGGCTGGTGTACCGTAGTTCTTGCTATCACACTCCAAAATAGTCTGTGTTTTGTGCTTAAGAATCAGTGGTTTCTGTGGAGGGTGTGCTGCAAGCACGTCTAAATCGTTTTAAATCGAGAATGTTTTGGAAAACTGGGGTTTTTTTGGAAAACTTAGAGTTTTCCTTGTCCTCTCCCATACTCCTGCATGCACACCTTCAGCTTTCCTCATCCCTGGAACTCCAAACCCTCTGCAGCAGGAAGCACATGGGAGCTCTGCGTTGTAGGTTCACCCCCAGTGCACAACTGTTTTGTAACTCCTCAATCAGAGGACATTTTGTTTTGCAGAGACATGATGGCTGGCACATGAACAACACCTAAAATGCCTGCTGCCAATTTGTTGTTTGTTACTTGGTTTATTAATTAAGTTACACAAAAGATTTGGAGAAAGGCCAACAGTTGTGTTTCTTTTTTTTTCTTTCTTTTTTTTTTTTTTTTGGTCCCATATTTTGGACTGCCTGGCCAAAGCAGAACAATTGCTGGGGCAGAGATACAGAGGAGTCCCCAAAGGTTAGCTCTGACTAAATTACACCAAAGCCTTGCTCCTTCACTGCTGCCATGAACTTTAGTAGAGATATCCTGTTGGGCTATTAATTGATCTCCTAAGAACCTCTGTTTACATCAAAAATGATGAGCCACGTAGTTTTGAACCAGAAGAAAAAGCTCAAATATATTTGAAATTGAAATTTCAGCTTGGCTTACTGGATATTTTTCCATATTTCTCTCAACTCCACGTTGCTTTTTCTTCATATATTTTTTTTCTTTTTGGTAGATTTTTTTACCCTTAATTTACACAAATAAAAGATGGGATTTCATGTGGTTTCTTTTTAGCTGAATTATATACGTATTTGTATATATACACATATATATATATAAATCACTTTCCATTATGCTTTCTTGTTTCTATTTTTTCCAAAAGGAATGTGATAGCAAGATTCACTTGGCATTCCAGATGCAATTGGCATGCCAGATTTCTAACTGCTACAAGATGGTGTGGTAACAGAGACACAAATTTATGTAGAAATGATTATTTTTGCCCCATATATCTGTTCCTACACAATTTTTTTTTGCCAGAGGAAGAAACTCTTTTATAGGAATTTCAGTAGTGGATCAAACTAGGACCCAGCTTAATTCAGTAGTAGCATGTCTGAAACCAGCTCTGATCAGCCTCCCCTGAGAAAAGCAGCCTTTGGGTCATGAAGTAATCTTCCTGTAGGAAAAGTTTCCTCTTAAAATCACTTTGTGGGCTGAAGTGTGAAATACTTTCCTCTAATTGTGGATGTTCCTGTTGCCCGTATAAAGCTGAATTTCTCAAAGCCAGCGGAGTTCGGGCCTCAACAATACATCGTGGTGAGCAATTCCACCTGGTCCTGAACTGAAGAGCAGAGCTGAGCGTGGTTCAGCCTTGCACATTTTGCTCTAAGGCACCTCATCTTTGTAAGGCAAACTAGACTTGGCCAGTCCTTCCTCACCATGAGAGGCCTTTGCATGGACAACTGATTTTTATTACCGATTTCAATGGAAGTAAGCTCAGTATTCAGATTTAGCAGAAGTTCATGTGCTTGGAATTCCAAAAGTTGGTTGGATATTGAGGGCAATTTAAAAAAATTAAAAGGTTCTGACATCAAGTCATGGCGTGGAACCCAATTCTTCTTTAATTTACCCTTGAATCAATACATTTACTCGGTTAAAAATGAGAAGAAACCCTTGTGCCTGCACTATGCTTAACCAAGGTCAGGCACTGCTGTTGGAGGTGTTTTTGGCATGGTATTTCTCTGAAATATTTCTTCTGTGCTCTTCAGAAATAACTTTGAGGAAACAGTGCTCTCTTCCACTTCACACGACAAGGACAATGAGAGTTTGTCCCATGCTGGCATTATATACAGTACAAAAATCCTCATCCGTGCAATCCTTTCTAGAGCCATTCCTAACGCTGCTGACACATTTTCTTGAAGTTTTAAATGGGGTTTTAGTAACTTATTCTGATATGCAGCCCCCTGAAGGACCTCAAGAACACCAACCCAGTCTCACCAAAGAGAAGAGGAGGCTCAGAGGGGACCTTATGACTCTTTACAATTCCATGAAAGGAGGTCGCAGCCAGATGGGGCTCGGACTCTTCTCCCAGATAAAAGGTGACAGGACAGGAGGACATAGTCTTTAAGCTGCACCAGGGGAGGTTTAGGTTGGACATTAGGAGGAATTTCTTCACAGGAGGGGTGATTAGACATTGGAAAGGGCTGCCCAGGGAGGTGGTGGAGTCACCATCCCTGGAGGTGTTTGAGTGCTCAGTGCCACGGTCTATTTGCCATGGTGGTGTTGGGTCACAGGTTGGACTGGGTGATTTCAGAGTTCTGTTCTAGCCTAATTAATTTTGTGAAAACAACCCCCGAGCTGTGGGCCAGGGCCAGTTTGAGCCGCTGGTCGGGCAGCAGCGCCCGCCATCGCAGCGCGGCCTTGGGGGGCTTTCTTATCCCTCCGCTGTGCGGTACGTCACTTTCCGGACGCCGAACCCCGCACGCTCATTTGTTTACTCATTTATTTATATCCATTTATTGACTTCGCTCCCTTTCCCAGCACCCGGGTGCCCAGTTCCCCACGGCCACCCCTCACTCTCCCCACACGGGGCCCGGGCCCGGCCCTTTTCCCGCTTCTCCTCCCGCCGCCGCCGCGGCGCGCGCGCGGCCCCGCCCCGCGCGCACATCCGGGTCCCGGCGCTGGCCCCGCCGGCCCCGCCGCCGCTCCCGGCCCCGCTCCCGGCCCGTCCCGTCCCGCCCCGCCACAAGTTCGGCCGCAGGAGCAGCGCCAGCGGCGGCCGCGGCCCAGCCCTCTCACCGACACCGCGCCCGGGGAGGCCGCTGCTCCGCGCCCGGTGGGTCGGGGGGTTGAGGTGTGTGTGGGGGGGGGGTGCGGGCCGCAGGGGTTCCGGAGCGGGGCGGGGGAACGGGCCGGGCCTGTGGGGACGCGGGGCCGAGGCCTCGCCGCGGGGCCGCCGGGACGGGGTGGTGCGGGGGCGGGCAGGGGCAGCGAGGGACGGTGAGCGGCGTGTGGGGAAGGAGCAGCGCCGTGAGGGAGAGAGCGGAGCGCGGGGCCGCCCGCGGGGAGCGCGGACACGCGTGGGGACGGTGCGGGCACCGCGGGGGTTGTGCCTTAGTTTTTGCTGCTGTTTTTTGTCGTTGGTTTTTTATTATTACTATTATTACTTTATTTTATTTTATTTTTTTGAGACGAGAGCTAGCTGTTGGCTGAAGTCAGGCCTGGCCGAGCGAGAGGAGAGCAGCAATCCCGCCCGGCTGGTAAAGGGGCGGGAGGCGATGTGAGGGCACACGAACACACACTCCTCGCACTCACACACACGCACACTTGTCCACCGTGGCCCTCCTCGCCTGACAGATGCCTGACAACAGATGCGCGGCCTCCGTGATTTAGGACGGCGATTTTTATTTATTTTGTTTTTTTTTTTTTTTTTTGTCTTCTGCGGGTTGTAAAACTTAATAGAGGAAATATGGTCTTGCGGTTAAAAGCACAAGACTGGAAATCAAGTGATCTGTGCCAATTGTGGGGTTTCTGGTGTGACTTTAAGGTGATTGAATAGCATGTCACAGTAGATGAAGGGAAGAACTGATTTAGCAGTAGTGTGGAATATGTTGTTGAATAGGCTCAGTAATAGTTGTTGAATCTTTTGGTGGAATCTGTAGGGATTTAGAGATTCTACTCGGTGAATCACTGGGGCCCACTGCTTTAACAAAACCTCCAAGGAATAACTGTCAAAATTTGCATCAGCAAAATTTTGTCTGTCATGGGAAATTAGATTGTCAGTGTGTGATGGTTCTACATGAAATCTCTTGCTGGTTTTCATTCCTGTATTAATTTCAGATAATTAACCTTCCATGGGTGGTTTTAAAATCCTGAAAACTGGAATGAGCATTGTTCTTACGTGTGTCAGTTATGGAAGTTCTGGACAGAATGTCCTCCTGAGCAATCACAGAATTTGATTGAAGAGGAGTAAAGGAAAGGGTGCAAACAGTTGCAGTCATGTGCCTGTGCTCATCAAAAGCTGTAATGCTTTATGAAGTTGGCAGCTGGTGGTAGTGGAAGTTAATAGAAGCAGCAAATAACTTAATTGACAATGTTTCATAATTAGTGTGTTGTAACTTTTGAGAGTGCCCTGTCTGTGTTGGATTTAATGTCTTAATCCCTACCGTTTGATAGTGGTTTACTCCTACCTCTGATATTAAAATATTGTTCACTTGGCCTTGAAATTGCTGCTAAGTGCTATGCCACTTATATCTGCAAAACAAAACCCCAGCAAACCATGTGCTCACTGGGTTTGCCTTTGTCAAACCCTTCTTTTCCTTTCAGATGTGGAGGAAATACTTTTGAAGGAGGAATGTTCTTTTTTTTTTTTTTTTTTCCTAAAGAGAGAACTTTCCCAGTGGAAGCCCAGATGGACAGTGGTGATGGGGCTGAGAAACGGGAAAGGAGGAAGAGAGAGGCTTCCTCTGCATTTCTTTCTCTGGATGACAAAAGCTCCCAACGGCAGGGCAGGGCGTGCTGCTGTGTACAGCTGTGGTGGGTGGGGTTTTTATTTGGAGGTTTGGAGTTTTAACCTCTTATGGAACTTGAAGGAACTGTAACTGTGGACCCTCTGCTGTTTGGTACTTGTTATGAAGTCAGGTTTTTAGTCTTGCACCTAGAGTGGGTGGTCTGTGCAGAGTTTTGGTGATCACAGAATATTATTTGAGCTGGAAGAAGTTCTGTCTCCCAAGATGAAGTGCTCGTGCTCAGTTAAGCGACTTTTGGGGTTTATGTGAATGTTCTTTGCAAATTATGTTGTGGTCTTTATAATTTCAGAGGACACTTTTAATTCCAGAAAAATGTCATGTATATTTTCTTTTTAGTTGTCTTAAGAAAATGCTGAGAACTCTTTTGTTGTTGCTCTTGGTTGAATTACATACCTGCAGAAATATTACTGTCCTATATCATCTTTTACTGCCAGTTAAGGCCTTGTTTTTCATTTTCTTTATGTTTGTTTGGGTTTCTTAATTAAAGGACAAGTTCTTGTAGTATCTCTGCTAGATTGGCTGAAATGAATTTTAATCTGTTAATGTTTCTTTAAAGATCTTTATATGGTTTTTTGATATGAACAGGTAAGGAGCTCATGCCCAGAACGAAAAGATTTGTTCCCTTGTGAGCTGAGAGCACTTTTTAGATATCCCCATGGCTAACGATAAACAGCTCATTAAAACCAAGCTGAACAGTAATTTAAGACTTTTGCAGTTGCCTTTAGTCACAGTGCAAGTTCCTGCACAGTTTTCTGGAAGCCTTTTTAGCCCTGTTCCTGTGACCACGTCGAGAAGCTTGGCTGGCCCTGGAGCGTGGGTTGGCAGGGGCAGGACGGTGCCTGCCAAGGCTGTATCCCCACTGACCCACCACCAGGGCTGAGCCTGCCAGCACTGTCATCCCTGACAGAGGATCTTTGTCAGAGTCCCTGCTACTGATACAGCAGCTATGAAGTAGTGTCTCTGAATTCTGGGTCAGTGCATGTCACAAACTGACAAATTTAGAATACTTTGCCGTTCATTCATTCTGTGCACGGGGGGAAAAAAACCTCGCCGAGTTACTGTTGTCAGCGTTCCCTCCAATCCTGCAGCTTTTGTGAACTTGTCACAGGCTTGTTGCAATTCACTTGGAGTGGAATTGTACACACACACACACACACACACACATCTTTATTTTTCTTCCTCTTTTAAAGCTTTATGAGAGTGTCCCTTCTTTCAGGTTATGCTTTTTGTTGCCAAGTTATAGTATGTAGGATCTTAGTCTTTAATGAGGGCCTTGCACACGAACATCAAAATTTATGGAAGACTTTGTCCAGCTTATTAATTTTTTAGCATACTTTAGGGTTTGTGAAAAGTGTAATTTTCCCATTTTTTTCCTCCAGCTGTAGTAGAGGTCATTCTTAATCACCCACTTGCTTGTCCATGTGCACCAGCCTCCCAGTGGAGGTATAGGCTTTTGTTGCTGTATTTGGTGAAAATTAGCAGTGCTCTTCTGTATAACTTTAATTAAGAAATGGATGCTAACTTTTGGTTAAAGTAGATCTTAAATAATCTTAAAAACATGAGGCAGTTTCAGGGCTGACTGCTGTGGATGGTGGCATTTTCCAGCATAATGCTCCTGTTGGAAAGTGCCAGTTAGCTGAAACAGAAGTGTGAGAAAATGCACAGTTGTGACAAAACACTTAAGGGAGAGGGATTTTGGTTCAAAGACAGAATTTGTAGTTTTTGAGAACTTGTACAAAAGCTAATTGCTCAGTAATTAGAGCAGCTGCAGGGACCAGGGCCATGGGAGCGCTGGATCTTTGTGTTCTCAGCGGGGATGCTTGAAGAAATAGATACTAACTTTTTTTAGGCTTTGGAGGTTTTGGTGTTTTCTCCCTCCCCCTGTATCACAGTTATACTCAAGTTTTGCCATGATGCAGAGCAAATTCAGAACTCTCTGTTCTTTGGGTATAATTTTTCTGAGCTTTTCTTGGCATCAGATGGAAGTGAGGGTGCTTTGGAAATGCAGTGGAGCTTTATTTGTGAACTCTTTGACTGGACCTTGTCCTCTTTTGTGATATAAATCATTGTCACTTGGATTGGTTTTTTTAACAGTAATTTTTGAGAAGATGTTAAGAAAAACCAGAAACATCACTTTGCTATCTGAGCTACATGGCTTTTGTTTCCACTTCTTGCATGTATATTGTATCTCTTGCTGCTTTTGCTTGGCCTCAGAGTTTTGTTAGGTTTCTTGTAAGAGAGTACTGGTTAAATACTTCTCAGCTGACAGAGCTAAATGCTTCAGGCTTTTGTTCTGTTATTTTTTTTTAAGCTGTGTTAGATGGTGGACAGATGTGGAAATGAAAAGAAAAAGTATTGTGTGAGAAAAGCCTGTCTGAAATTGTCAATATATTTTTCTGTTTGGAGGGCAGTCATGGTTAGTAAAAGTTTGGAAGATACCAGACAGTTCTTTTCTGTTCTTGTTTACATGTATTATTAGTTAGACCATATTGCCTTACAAGGCATGTTTGAAGCACAGAAATCTAGTGCTGGTATAAAAGCACTTATCATAGATTCTGGCCAACTGAATGTACATTTAGCTCTGCAGGCCTAGTTCTGATGAAAATACCACAAGTTCTTTTTTGATACACTTTATAAAATCTCCTTTCATCTTTTACTTAGCCTTGAGGGGAGGAGGGAAATAAAAAAGCTGTATCATTGATGATATTCCTCATGGCTGAGATGTTGCAACTGAAGAAAACTCTTTTCTGTGGATTGGCTGTGGCATGCAGGCCCTTCAAGTTATTAACCAAGTTCTTTAACCAAAGTGTAATCTTAGGGTTTATTTTATCCTTGATGTGTTTGGAGAAACTGTGGAGTTCACTTTTCTTCTATATTTGTTCTCAAGAAAAGGCTCATTGCAGGGGACTGCAGTGTAAGAAAATGATAATAAAACCCAAGCACGGTCCTGCACAGTTCCTCTCAGGAAATCTGTAAGGAAAGAAGGATTTCTAATAAAACCAGGTGAAATTGATGTGTGAGGTTGTAGTTTTAAAGAAAGTATTTATAAGTGTATATGGCATAATGTGCTGTAACACACTGCAGTTGAGTTTCTGAGCTCTCTGGAAGAATATGTAGTATGTAAATATGTGTATGGAGTGAAACGAGCATTTCTGAGCTTGCTGGGGCAATAAAGTTAAGCACAAGAGCTGAGTGCAGAACAGCTTTAGCTGCAGATCTGCAGCAGCTCTAATGAACTGCCAGTTGTGTTGCTGGTTATAAGTGGTGCTTTGTTTATGGGATGAAATCGAGTCTCAAAGCAGCTTCTAATCATCAGCAGCGAAGTTCCTTATTTCAGTTGGGTATGATGCTACAGGAGGCTGCCTGAATTTGCAAACAAGTCAATTAAGCAGGAAAAGAATAGAGCCTGTCGTTGTGCAGCACAAGCTGAGTCCTGGCAGTGGGAAGGGATGAGGACCATGCAGTTGTTACCCATTTATCCTTGGGGACAAACTGTGGGAGCATTGTTCATTGCTCTTCATTGCCAGGCTGTTTGGGGTGATGGTGTGCTTGGTTAGTGGTACTTCAAATTTAAATTTTGCAGGTGGGAAATTAGTTTGGAATCAACGGCAGAAGGTGTCACACAAAAAGTGCCTCTCAATAAAATAGTTACACCATATGTAATGTTACATTATTTGTTCTTGCTCTTTTAGCCAAAAGAAGATTCCTTGATACAGAATCGAATGAATCTATTAAACTTGCCAGTTTAATAGAAAGTTTCACAAGAACCACCAAAAGGTAGTGGAGTTACTTAGTATTTGTGATGGCAGGTGAAAGGTGATATATTTGTCCTGTCTTCACAAATCAAATGCAGCTTGTAAGTTCTGCTGTTGGCCAACTGTTTATATCTGGCTGGCTGAGGTATTAAGAAGGGGTTCAAACAATGGACTTGTTCACACAACTGGTTTCCTTCCATTTGCTGTAGTCATTAACAAGACCTTTCAATGTATAAATAATGCATGCCCCAAAGTCTCATTTTGATACAGTGATTACTTCCTTTTATACTTGCCCATTAAAAGCCCCCTCTTGCTTCTCTGTGCAATTCATTACAGTCCCTCTTTAAAGAGTGTTTGTAACTATTTTTTTTAAAGTACCAGCATGTTTTTCAGTTGATGTTCTCCCCTAGCTCAGCTGAAAAGTTATTTAATAAAAGAAGGTAATGCATAATGGGCCCTCTGCTTCTTAAGGAAATTTAAGAAAGCTTTTTTTCCCCCCCTGAAAGTCATTCCCAGCTGTGTGTAGAGGTGCAGCAATAGGAGTAATTTGTGCAGCACTGAATGAAAATGTGACTCTTTAAAGCATTTGTTTCTGTGCTCAAACCTTACAGTGATGCACTGTTGTGCTGCAATCACAGCTCATAACAGGGGCTTTTAAAGCCTGGGAAGAAATTGATTGTAAATATAGATATTCTGGGGAGGCTCTTCCTGGCAGATGGCAGGATTACTTAGAAACCTTTGGCAAATGAGATGCTGAAATTACAGCAAATGCAAGTAAATGTTCTAAATGTGGTTTGTGCCTCTCATTCAGAAATTTAAAAACCCTACATGAATTGCAGTTTCTACATCAAAATGTTAAGTTCCTACATAAATACCTGAACCTGCTGCTTTGTGGCCTTAAATAGCTCATGATTCACTAAGTTTTTTAATTCTACGTTGTTTTCTTAAGAAAAAGCAAAAGCTGGAAAGCTTCAGGATTTTTACCTTCCAGAATGAACTTCTGAAAGGTGTGTAATGAGATAAATTCAGTGTCATTTGCACTTCTCAAAGTATTTTGTTGCAGAGTTTCTTTTTTGCCCTTGCTTTTCATGAACAGGTAAAAATACTCTTCAGTAGAAGTCCTGAAAGCTCGTGGGGGGGCAAAATGGAGTTACAGTAAATATTACAATATTTTAAACTTCAGCAGTCTAGTTCTTCAGTGCTTACAGCCCAAGTATGTGTGTAGAAACTTTTTTTTTGAAGAAGTTGAAACAGTTTTGATCAAATCTGTTATGATGCTTCTGGAACACTTTTTGCCTTCCTTGATAGGCCCTCAGACAAATGTAAAGCTTTTAGAGTTAATTATGTTACTTACTCCAAGCAGATTGTTTGTAAAATCATAGTTTATAGGACAGAGTCATTTATCAAAATTCCCTTGACACTTGCCCTACAAATACTAGTTACTGCAAAACATCATTTTAGTAGAACTGTTCCAACTTCCTTTGCTTTGAGTTAGTTGTTTATTCCACGGACATACTTGTGGGTAAATGATGTTGAAATTATATGCAGCCACTAAAATTGCTTTCCTACTTGATGCACTGCATTCAGAATACTACAAAATAAAATATCCAGTTATAGATGATCGTAGAACAGACTTGTAGGTCTGTGAACTTGATTGCTTGATATAGATGTGATGGGATAGATCAGGGTGGCAGCACCAAGAGGAGTTTCTTAAAATCTCCTTTGAGCTCAGCTTAACTATAGGAATTTCTAGTGCATCTTCTCCCTTGATGATGCTTTAGGTTCTTTGAAAGCATAGCTGAGAAACAAAAATAGAACTTTTGAATTGTCTTCTTTCTGCTCTGAGACTCCAGGTGGGTTCATTTCCTTTTTTAGGGCTGTGAGCAATTGCTGTTATCTTGAGATATTGAAGGTACAAGGCTTGAAAGTGAGTTGCAACTGTAAACAGCTTTTACTTTTTAGAACAGTAAACTTTTATCCTCAGTAAAAGAACAAATTTAGTCTGAGTTCTTGGCCAAGTTTCTCTCTCTTTATGTATTTCCTGTTGCTTTGAAGGGTGCAAAGGTTCTTCTGTGTAATAGTTCTGGGGAACTAAATTAGACTTTAAGTGCAGACACGTCTGTATTTCTGAAGAAATAAGGTAATACATAATTGATTGAGACTTTTTTCTTTTTTCAGTTCCTTCCAGGGACTTACTGAAGCAGTGGGAGACTTGTATTTTCCTAATTTCTTTTTTTTTTCCAGTTTGTTTTTGCATAGGAAGCTTAGGAAGAAAGGTCTTCAAACAGTTGTTCTATTTGTTTTGGTTTTCCCACTTTTTCTCCATCTTACTCAAACCAAGCTGAATAATCAAAGAGGTACCAATGGGATTAAGCTACAGTGTGAAATAAGTGGATTTTTTCCTGTCAGGAGACACCAAGTGTCCTTAGGTTTGTTCCCTCCTTTCCTCACCTTCTAACTCCCAGAAGAAAAAATATCTGTGGTACATAAATGCCTTGCCTAGGGATGTTTGCTGTACCTTTGCTACTTAGTATATGTTTCTGTTATATAAAAATATCTGTCCAGGTGTCTGAGCGGGCTTGTAAATGTGCCCAGACACTCGGAAAAGCCTTATCAGATGACTTTTAGTGAATCAAAGATGGGAGGAAGAAAGATCTTCTTGATTAAAGGTGGCAACCTAAGAGAACCAGCACAGAGGTGCTTAAATCTTGCTTCCCCCCCACCACCACCACCCTTGTGTCTCCTGTGCAGATTTGGTGTCTGGGCATGTGGTAGGTGCTCTAATTCCCGGTGGTTTATCAAAAGCTGAGGGACAATGTTGTTTGGCAGTCTCTGTAGCAGGAGAGGAAGCATCTTTTGTTATTGACATCCTTTCTCTTAGACCAGCTCTTGCTTTTTGCCAGCTGCTCATTGTCTATACTTGCTTATTTAGTATTCACAAGGGATTTTACAAGTTCTTATCAGTTGGTTGCCACAGCACATCATTTCCTCTTGTCATCGGTAAATTGGTGGGGGGAGGATTTGCTCTGGAGCTGGGGAGTGGTAAAACACCATTCATGAGCTGCCCTGGGCTCTTCTGCTCCTCTCCTTTCTGACTTTGTAGTAAAGGTCACATTTCTAGTCCTTACTCTGTCATGCCTTCCCCCTCCCCTCTTTTTCTGGGGAAAAGAAAACAATTTTTTTTTTCTTTTGCCAAAGGCTAAAAATATCCTGCTCTTCAAATATTCTTCTTAAAAGATATAAGGAAGTGCAGCATAAAAATAGCTCCAGCTAAAAAAAAAAAAGGGTTGACCACCTTTCTGAGTGGCTGGGGAAGGGTTGGTTGGAGCTTTTTATTGGGTTTTTCTTTTAGTTGTGTTTGGTTTTCTCTATCTGCAGCTTCTTCCTAATTTTTTTAATACTCTTCAAAAACAAGAGGTAACTAATTAGGGTTAAAGCAGGAAAAAGCAGATGCTGTAGGATTTTGTCCTTTTGGGAAATAAAGGTCCATCTGAGAATGCACTACTGGCCTTGGAACTGCTGGTTCCACCCTCCCTCTTCCCTGTTCCTTCATAGCAAGTTTAGTCTTTTAGTGAGGCAGCATGACAGGGATAGACTGTTAGTTTTAAAGCATATTCCTCAAGCTTGTCTTCTAAAGGAAAGTCATGGATTTAAGGAACAGTAACATGAACTATGCTGTTCCTATTATCCCTTATTGGTCCTTTTTCCCACTAATCATTAATGTAAGAATTAGAGACTCTGATCGTTTTTTGGGGGGTGAGGTCCTAGTACTTCTGGGTTTTTGTTTTGAGACAAAATCAGGTACAATGCTGAAACAGAGAGCCTTTTACTATCTGCCTTTTTGTTTTACTTGTTTTCTAATTCCTTGTTAACTTATCTTTTTGACAGAACTAAATTAGAGGAATCTATTACCATTTTTGATGTGAAGACTTCATCTCTGACATCTCTATGGTCATTTGGCAGCCTCCAAGAAATAATACAGCTCAGCAGCGGCAGTAACTGCCTTGGGTATACACTGACAATTATTTGGGAAAAACAAAGAAAACCCCAACAGCCCAAACCCACCAAACCTTTTGAAGACTTTGTGTCCAATGACGTCAATGGCCAGTTTGTTCTCCTTTACTAGCCCAGCTGTAAAGCGTCTGTTGGGCTGGAAACAAGGAGACGAAGAGGAAAAATGGGCAGAAAAAGCTGTTGACGCTTTGGTAAAAAAGCTGAAAAAGAAAAAGGGTGCTATGGAAGAGCTGGAGAAAGCCCTGAGCAGCCCAGGCCAGCCCAGCAAGTGTGTCACCATCCCCCGCTCCTTGGACGGGCGGCTCCAGGTGTCCCACAGGAAGGGCCTTCCCCACGTCATTTACTGCCGCGTCTGGCGCTGGCCTGACCTCCAGAGCCACCACGAGCTGAAGCCCTTGGATATTTGTGAATTTCCTTTTGGATCGAAACAGAAGGAAGTCTGCATCAATCCATACCACTACAAGAGGGTGGAGAGCCCAGGTACCTGGAAAATTACTGTCTTACAACTGCACAAAATCTCCTGTAACCACTTACTGGTCACTCCCTCCTCCAGTCCTGTGGAACTGATTGGAACTGGTGTATGAGGGAGTTTGGGAGAGGAAGTTCAAAGGGTATATTGCTGGTGTGGTTTTGGGGAGGTGTGTTGTCCATTCTTTGGGATTAATCTCTTCAGCCTGCTACCCTTAAAGTTAGTAGCAAAGTCCTCATTTGTAGCAAAACAGAAAGCAGTGATAAAAAGACTTCAGTTTCTTTGACAAACTTCTTTAAAAATCCCAGTTCTCACAAGGAGGTTGGTGATGTTATTTTAATATTTAATTTGTGAGTGACATGACTTGAGGAGATAAAAAAAAAAAGAAATAAAATTCTTGGATGGTAGAGTTCCCCACTTGAATTCCAATCAACAGAGAGCAGAGATGAATAGAGCCAAGAGTGGTGATCAGAGCAAGGTTTGTACCAATTTTGTGTCAGGTTACAGGCCTGCTGTTCAGGAATTCTGCCATTGGAGGAGGGGAGGAGTGTTGGGATTGCAAGTGGGAGACATGAAGGATGTTGCTGTGGACAGCAGAGTGAAAAGTTCCTTCTGTTGTTCCACAAAGTGGTTGTAACTCTACTGCAAACTGCAGTGCTCAAACTGCAGCACTGGAATTCAGACTCCAGCAGCCCTGGGTTTAAAAGTTAAAACTCCAGCTTAGCAATACTTTTATATTGCAGTATAGATTTTGTTTGCCTTCAGTGAAAGGGGCAATATGTAACTATATAGTTTGGCTGTGGTACTACAGACTGTATTTTCATTTTCACTGTTTTGCTCCTGCACACAGACAGTGAGTTTTGCACTTCTGCATCAGTACTTCAGTACGTGCCACATGGTTTGTTTGGTTGGTTTCTTCTTTTTAAAAAGAAAGGTCATCTTCCAGTTGCATGAGATATATGTGTGGTTTTGTGATTTTTGCAAGAGTAAAGTTTGAGTCTTTCATGAAGCATAATTTGAAAAGTAAAGGAGAGAAGACAGGGTAAAGGCATGTCACATTGACCCCCTGCTCCTCTTTCCACCCCACTAGTGTTGAATTATCATGATGACCAGAACACAACATCATTTGGATCTCCTTCTAGCTCAGTTTTTAATGTGAATTCACCTGGTTTTCCTCTGTGTTTTTTCCAGTTCTACCTCCAGTGTTAGTGCCTCGACATAGTGAATTCAACCCCCAGCACAGCCTCCTGGTTCAGTTCAGGAACCTCAGCCACAACGAGCCCCACATGCCACACAACGCCACGTTCCCTGACTCCTTCCAGCAGCCCAACAACACTCCATTCTCCATCTCCCCAAACAGCCCCTACCCCCCTTCTCCAGCCAGCAGCACTTACCCCAGCTCCCCAGCCAGCTCGGGGCCAGCCAGTCCCTTCCAGCTCCCTGGTAAGTCCAGCCTGAATGTCAGTTCAATAAAAAGAATTGAAATGTCCTGTGCTCTTGGGATTTATTACCTCAGGAGTTTGTGATATTTGCAATAAATTGCTTTTTCCGTTTGCATTTCAGGGAGTTTTCTTCCTAGTTTTGTCACTGGTCAGACTTAATTATTGTAGCTTTATTTTTCCAAGTGTTTTTTGTCATGGATATAATAGTGGTGAGTTATTTTGCACAGCATCAGTATAGAATAATTGATACATACTTTAAAAGAATATCTAGCAATGAAATTAGATGTAAGAGGCAGAGCAAGAGGTTTATTGATGTCTTTATCTGAATACAGTGGTGTTTAACTGGAAAAAAGTAGCAAATCTTTGTTAGAAACAGATGGGACTAAATTGATTCTCTTTAACTGATTTGGGTGAAAAAAAGGAAAAACAATTGATAGGGGCAAAGGAAAGAAGTCTTACTGATTGTCTGGCTCTTGGTGTGATTATAAAGCCAAGAAGTTAATTGATTAATGATTTTAATCATGAGGCTCAGTGGCCTCATCTTTGTTGTTTCTGATTGCTCAGTTCCCCCAAAAGAGTGTCCCAGTCAGGGGGATCTCTTGGCTGAGTACTGGGATCACTGGGATGGATGCATTAATGGGGCACAGTTGTGTGCTGCTGGAAGAACACAGAGATCCCCACTTTTAGAATGACCTCAGCCTAGAAAAGCAGAAAAACCCCCCAAAAACTGCTATAGACCTTCTTTCTGCTACAGCAAATAAAGTTATTTCTTCTACTACTTTATTTTTGAACATGGAGAAAAGGGGAGGCAAGAAGGCTAATGCTTGTGTGGCAAAAAGTGGGAACCACAGTCATCTTTCCCAGCTGCAGGAGTGCAGTTATTAAACTAAAAAAAAGGGGCAAAAAGAAAAAAGTACATTTTTTTAAGGTATCCAATCTTGTTGTTAGTCCCATACATAAAACTTCAGCTATTGAAGGAGTTTACTGTAAAGACAGCTGGCTGTTTTCAGATCACTTTGAAAATGGGTCCAAATTTTTTAACATCTCTTGTTCAAGAGGGTTTGGGGGTTTTTTGGTATGTTTACAACAGTACAATGAATAAATATTCTAAATTGTTGAGGTTTATTCTTATTTTTTCCACCTCTGTAGCTGATACTCCACCTCCTGCCTATATGCCCCCTGATGATCAAATGGGGCAGGATAATTCCCAATCCATGGACACAAGCAATACAATGATCCCTCAAATCATGCCAAATATATCCACCAGAGGTGAGTTGTGGGGTCTGGGGTAAAATTACATAGTTTGACTTCTTGCAGCTCACGACCAAACTGAATGAATAACTTCAAATGGGCCAGTAAACCTCGCTGGTAAGTCATTCAAGGCAAACTGGGGCTGTAGCAGAGAAAACTGAGAAATAAAACTTGCCTGGCTTATTTTCATCTCTTGTTTTCAAAGCCTGAGGGCTTCCAACAAGTTGAACTCTTTTTCGTTTCTTTTCTGCCACCTTTGACTGTTGCTGGAATTATATGTGAAATAAGGCTCTGAAAATTTGGGTCCCAAAATAGCCATTATAACAGATTTTTTTAAAAGTGGGCAGGAGACTCATGTTTCACCTGTTATCCCAGTGTTTTCGTGTGCGTGTAGGGGGGTTTTTTAGTTTAATATCAGACTTAAAATTGGAAAATAATTGTCAAATCAGCAGACTAGCTAAAATGCATGAAGATAAAAATCATGAAGATGTTAAACAGGATGGTCCTTGCCCATCCTAAGTGTCAGCTAAGCTTTTACTTATCTAGTGATGTTTTGGGAGGTAAAATGTTCTTTCTGTTTGCTTCTTTTCAGATGTCCAGCCCGTTGCCTACGAAGAACCCAAACACTGGTGTTCCATCGTGTATTATGAGTTAAATAATCGTGTTGGGGAGGCCTTTCATGCATCTTCCACAAGTGTCTTGGTAGATGGGTTTACAGATCCCTCCAACAACAAGAACAGGTTCTGCTTAGGGCTGCTCTCGAATGTAAATCGCAACTCGACCATCGAGAACACTCGGCGGCACATTGGCAAAGGTAAAGCTGGGCTTAGGAAACCAAGGCCCTGGCTTTGGTTCACCCTCTCTGCACTGCAGCAGGGGTTGTTCTCAGATGGGAATACCAGAGGTAATCTGAGATCTGATACATTATTGACCTCTGCAGAATCAGAAGACAACTTCTTTGGGCATGGTTTAATTCTAATTAGTCGGGAATTGCAGACATTTTTCCTTGGTGCTAATTTAAAAGACTAAATTTTACCTCTTCCTTGCCAAACAAGATTATCATTTACCCTAACAAACAAGCCCCCATGACAATTTACCTAGAGCTCTTTTGTTTCAGCACCAAGAAACATTGCAGGACTCCTGATATTCTGCATTCTCTCTCCTCCTTAAATCATATTCTTCATCCCTCTGTACAGTATATCAAAGATTGTTTTATTTTGTTGTTGCAAGGCATTACCTGCTGTCTGTGTTCAAATATCTTGGTGAGTTGGCAGCAGGACTTTGAAGTGCTAATGCAAAACTGCAAGGGCTCATTTGTCTGAGTGAATCCATGGGGTGTGTTTGTGTGTGGGAGGGATTCCTGGAGACAGCAGGTTTTGCAAGATCTTCTAGTTTTCCTGTGCTGTTTGGCTGATAGCACATAGAGATGTACAGTTTTCATCTGTGATGGAATGTGCTTGGATTATCTTAAATTGCAGTGCTCCTTTTCTGAATATCTTCTCTTTTGTGACCAAGTCAGTCCTGAGAAGAGAACCCTGTTTCTATTGCACCTGAGATCATTTGGTAAAGTTGGTCTTGAGTTTTGCTTGATGAAAATTCATCCTGTCCCTTAACAGTCTTTTTAAATTAGAAACTTCTACAAATATGGCAAAATTTTGCAGATAATTTGGAGACCACAGGTTCTATTGATGTATGTTGGAAACTTGGCTCTGCAATGCAGTTATCCAAGAAAATTTATAAATAAAACAATGTTATAAAGGAGAACAGCTGATTCCTGAGGTGTGAGTGGTTTGTCAGGTTCTTTTGTTTGGGCTCCCCCCTCTCAGTGGTACTGGCAGAGGAATCCTGTGCATCTTCCCAAGGTCAGGAGTGTCACCAGGATCCATCAGGTTGGGTAGGGTAATATTGGCTGCAATGAGCTTTGAAATGTCTACATACAATTAAGACTGTTTGGGGATAAAATACCATGTTTGATTTTTAAGGTCTGTAAAGACTGATGGTAATTAAGTTGAGCAACTAATTGGACTTGCCTCTCCTTTGGCTTGATAAGATGCTGTGAAAATCAGAGCATGGATGTACTTCCTCATTCATGTCTGACCCTTCTCCCAGGACACACTTATTTCTGTTGGAATTGCCATAGGCAGAAGCTACCAGTTGTATAAAACTGGAGTTTTAAAAGGCACATAAATTCTCTTGAAAAACAACTTGAAATAGCAGTTGAAAGAAATGTGGCAGTAGGTTTTCCATTCTATTTTGTAACTAGTCAGAGAAGGACATCTAGTGGCTGGTGTATCATGAGCCTACTGTATTTTGAAATGGGAAAGTAAGTTATAATGTGAGCAAAAGAGCTTTTCTGAAAAGCTCAGGCAGAAAGTTTACTTTAAAAAAAATAGGATTTACTACAACCACCTCAAAATCAGAGACAACAAACTGATTTGAAGTGTTTTTATCATTGTTTTCAAGGAGTTCATCTCTACTACGTTGGTGGAGAAGTCTATGCTGAGTGTTTGAGTGATAGCAGCATATTTGTACAGAGCAGGAACTGCAACTACCACCATGGCTTTCATCCAACAACTGTGTGCAAGATTCCCAGTGGATGCAGTCTGAAAATATTTAACAATCAGGAGTTTGCTCAGCTTTTAGCTCAGTCTGTCAACCATGGATTTGAAGCAGTATATGAGCTCACCAAAATGTGCACCATTCGAATGAGTTTTGTAAAGGTAAGTTATTTTGAGGGCAATTTAAGTTAATTGTGGGTTTGGGTATTTAGGAGTAATTCCATCAGCACTGTAGCAAAGCTGTCCTGACCTGATGTGGGTCTTTTCAATGATCAGTGTATTGAAAATGCTTAACTTGGGGAGAGGGAAATCAGTGCAAGAAAGGAAAAGCACAGATTGCTGTATTGAATGTTGGCTGGGTATTTAATTACTTCAGTATCCAGGACAGGGATTTAATCATTGTGGTTGCTGTAATTTTATTAAAGAAGATTTGAGCTCATGTTCTAAATTTGAAGGAACAAAGTGAATAACAGGTCCATTAAAAGGAAGTGGAATTGATTACAGAAAATACTCAACTCCTTCCAATTGATTAATATTATTTTTAAAAAATGATTATGGAAAAAAGGCTTGATTTGAGTTTATGAAGTCAAGCTGTGCTGTTGTCTCACAGGAGTTTTCTCAGCATTGTCTAATGAAGATACTGTCATACTGTCCCTCTCGGATTTACTGTGGAGTCGAGGGGTTTTTTTGCATCTTGTCCAAAAGATGTCGTGTTGATTTTGTCAATTATGATAAATACTGCTCAGTTTGAGAGTGTGGAGGATAAGGGAGCAGGAGGTTGAAGCAGAAGAGAGATGTGGCCATGCCAGGAGCCCTCCTGGAGTGGGCAGAGAGCTCCCCAGGAGCCCGTGTGGTCACTCCAGCTCTGCAGTGGGCAGTTCAGGCTCCCAGCTGCCCTTCCCTCCTGCTCCTGCCCAGCCTCAGGTTTTTTCCTTTACATAAGAAGTGTTCCTAAATTGTGAATTACCTTCAGATAAGTATCTTCAGTCCTGCTTTCCTGCTTGTTGTTAGTGTTACTTTAGAAGAGAGCCGTGTCCTGCAGTTGCTGGCTAACCCTGTGTTCCCCTGCAGGGCTGGGGAGCCGAGTACCACCGCCAGGACGTCACGAGCACCCCGTGCTGGATAGAGATCCACCTCCACGGGCCCCTCCAGTGGCTGGATAAAGTACTTACCCAAATGGGTTCTCCTCTGAATCCCATCTCATCTGTCTCATAGTGCTGACATTCTATCTCCAGCCTTATTTTTAGCGAACTTATTCTAATTCTAGAGCAACTTCCAGTGGATACTGTGAGCTATATGGAGAATGGATCTTATGGTTTAATTGTGTTGGTTTTTTTTTTTTTAAATCCCTCTGTGACCAATTCCATTGTGTATAGCTAATCAGTTTTACATTTCAAATTGTTCTTGTGATGCTTAAGTGACAGTTGAGCCCTAAGGGAAAAAATAGTCTATTGAGAAATTCAGAACACTTTTTCCCCTCCTTCCCCTAGAACTTAAACAGACATATGTCTTAACTGGAAAATCTTTTTGTCCTGTAGGGACAAGAATCATGGAGACTGACTTCAGAAAATAAATACATATCATAGTTTGGGATTTTTTTTTTAATGTTTATGAAACTGTTTGAACATGTGCAGCTCCAGCTTGCAAGCTGTATTTTTAGCATAGTGGTTTAAACATCTTAAGGTTGACATCTGTCATAAGCAAAATTAGACTTTATTATGGCTAATTTGCCTCAGATTGAACAATGTGATTTTTTTTTTAAGTGTACACATGAATATACTTTTTACAAATATTGGAGTGGTGTAAAAACACTTGTATTTTCTATTGGAAAATGCTGTCATAAACACACTGTATATTAATGCAGAATAGCAGTTCTTAGCCTTTTCCCACTTTGGTTTTGTAACATCTCTTTTAACCACCATTTAAAATAGTAATTGATACAAGGTAAACATCTTGCACGTTTCTGGAGTAGTAATTCTTGGTTTGCTTTGATTTACACTCATGCAGTTTGGATTTGGTTGCCAAGGCTGTCTCTTTTTAGGTACCCTTCTCTTTTTTAACATAAACACTACTATTTGTAAATGGCAGTGCTTACTACTTTTTGGAAGGAATAAGTTTTTTGTTTTCTTTTTGGTGTTCTAGCTGTTTATTTTACCTGTCTGGAATTGATCTGTGTAGGCCTTTTTAATCTCTCAGTAGACATTACACAGTATTAGTGATTACACTGTATTTAATTCACTTTCAGTATGAGTTTGAGTCTCTTTGAAGACTGTGAGTGGCTTAGCAAATGAGTTACTGAATGCAGAAGCTTTTACTTCCAGATAATTTAATGCAGACCTGTTGGTAATGACCAAAAGTAATCCCTTCTTTGTAGCCTACATGAAAGGATGGTCTCACTCCTGGCCCTCATGGCAGGGGTTCAATCAGGAGACTTGTAACTGTAGTTGGCAGCTTTGTGGGACTAAAGCACTGCATTAATATGATGAAATTCCTCCCATGTAAGGAATCACAGAGTCATGGAATGCTCAGGGGTTGGAATGGCCCTCAAAGATCATCTAGTGCCAAGCCCAGGGACATCTCCCTCTAGAACAGGTCACTCAAGGCCTTACCCAACCTGCCTTGAACATAGCTGGGGTTGGGGCAGCCACAGCCTCCCTGGACAACCTGTGCCAGTGCCTCACCACCCTCACAGGAAAAAATTTCTTCCTGATATCTGAGCTCATTCCCTCTTCCAGTTTGTACCCATTACTGCCTGTCCTGTCACTGCAGTTCCTGACAACGAGTCCCTCTCTGGTTCCCTGGAGGCCCCTTCAGACACTGGGAGGTGCTGTGAGGTCCCCACACAGCCTTCTCCTCTGCAGGCTGAACAGCCCCAGCTTTCTCAGCTGTCTTCACAGGGGAGGTGCTCCAGTCCTCTTGCCAACATTGTGGCCTCCTCTGCACTTGTCCTTAGGCTGGGGACTCCAGAACTGTACCCAGTGATCCAGGTGGGGTCTCACAAGAGGAGACCTGAGGGGGAGAATCCCCTTCTTGCCCTACTGCCCACGAGCCTTTTGAAGCAGCCCAGGATCCTGTTGGTTTCTGGGCTGTGAACACTCACTGCTGGCTCATGGGGACTTTGTCATCAACCAGCAGCCCCAAGTCCTTCTCCCAGGGCTACTCCAACTCCCTTCTGCACTCGAGCTGTAGGTGTGTCTGGGATTGCCCTGACCCGGGTGTAAGACCTCGGTGAACTTCAGGAAGTTTGCATCAGTGAGCTTTGGTGGAGAATTCAAACACTACTAAACACTAAAAGAAATCAGCTAAATAACTTATGCCTGTTTTCCCCCTTTTTATGATAAAAAGGAGGCTGAAATACTCTAAGAGAATTAGAAGTGAATTATATACAAAATGTCTTTGCATGCAGAAAAAACCTCTTGTATTTTTTAACTTCTCACCTTCCTTTTTCTCTTTCCTGAATATCTCTTCAGCAAAGGGTTCAGTGTTTGGAGGAGAGGCTGAAAACTCTAATATGCAAATAATTATGGAAAGATGCGTTGCAGTTAATTGCTGCAATCCTGAGACACTGATTGCTTACACAAGTTCTTGTGTCTTCTATTGAATGACATTTTCTGCTCAGATGTGGAAATCATGCATCGTATGGTACCTGCGTAACAAATGATCTTAAAGGATTCAAATTGTTTACGTGTCCTTAAAATGTTTCTTCTGAAATGCCTTAAAGGAATAAACTGTAACACTTCTGCAGAACCCTGATGTTCTCCTGTACAGGAATTTCTGTATTACTTGGTGTTTTGGGGGGTGTTTTTTGTGTTTTGGGGTTTTTTTAAACAGTTTCTCAAGTGTGTTTAAAAACCAACAAGTGCATCTTCAGGAGAAGGGGAGGAACATTATTTGCTGTTTACCTTTGGGGTCTTCTCTTTCATTCTTTGGAGCTGCAACCCACAGACAGTTCTTTTGATTGAATAAGATGCCAAGTCAGTTGGCCACAGAATCCAGCTTGTTTTCTTCTCCTCGGGGCCTGACTTTTGTCAAGTAGCTGAATATGTATATTTGACACTACAGAGTATTATTTTTCTTGACTAGCTTTTGTAATAAATGCCATGGCACGTTGAATTAAGGAAAGATTGCAATTGTAGGTACAAGATTTTACTTTATCCAAGATGTTTTTCACCTGGCTTCATCTCTGTTCACTTGTGTGCTTTTATGTGGCCAACTGAGTGACTCAAGAATGGGTGCTGAGGTGGGTGTTTGTGAGCCAGAGCTGGTGCTTAGTGCTGGTGTTGTGGTTTGATTGGCTGCCCGTGCACTGAACCATAATTTCTGCAATAATATCCAGTTAACCCACTTCTGATGCTGTCATTAAGTGCTAAAGTGCTCTGGCATTTTTTCTGCTTGTGTCCACGTTCTGGAACTGTAATATCTGCAATGCTGGGATAGCCTTGTGACTGCTGGTTTGGCAGGGCAGGAGCAGGGGCAAACCCAGGAAGATTTGTCTGCCTTCTACTTCTCTGTTCCTTTTAAGCAGAGCTTTTTGGGTGCTTTCTAGTGAGCAAATTTTGTGTGCTGCTGGTTCATGGTGTTCCTAATCCTGTTTAGTTCATCTGTGCTGCTGGTACAAAATGAGATATCAGTGCACAGATGGATGGGATGGAGAGTTTTTTGACCCTAACGATGTGTCAAGTCCAGGGAGAGCAGGGAGTGCTGCTGCTGGGGCAGCATCCTGTGTATAAATCACTTCTGTATCCAGATGGAGAGATGGAGAAATTAAATCAGCCAGTAGTGTGGTAGTGGAAGAAGGAGCCTTTCCAGTGTAGCCCAGCTTGGATTGGGTGTTACCCTTCAGTGAAAACTGGTTTGGCTTTTTTAGTGTATTTTCTTCTTTTTGGGCATCTCCTTTGCACCAACCACAGCATTGACTGGCAGCTTTGGCAACACCAGCAGAGCCTGGAGCAGGCTGACACCCATCCTTGCTGGGATTACTCCTGCAGTCCCTGGGATAAGAGCTTGGATCTTGCTCCTTGGGCACCTCAGTGCTGGCAGTCAATCAGTGCCTTGTGTTTTACACCCACAACTACATCAGGCTGGAAGGGCTGACATTGGCTTAGAGTATCTGTAGGACCAAACCACAATTTTCTAGTGTGCCTGATGAGAGACAAATTAGCAGCCCAGTAGGCAAAACAATGATTCAACTGGTGTTACAATTCGGGGTAGAATTGTTTAAATTATTGGAATTTTTCTAGTTTTTTCTTGAAGCAAAATGATGATTTTTTTTTTCCCCCCACAGTATTAAAATGTGAAAGTTGTCAGTTCTTGGGTGTGAGATTAACTTGGATCCTTGCACTATAGCTCTAGAGGACATTAAAATATATCAGGCTTCCTCCCTAGTCTGAAATAATAATTTTTTCAGGATATTGTTTTACTTGCTCAAATTGCTAATGATGGTTTCTAGAAAAACAAACAAACAAAAACCCAAAAACCAAAACATTTTCTAAATGTTTTGCTTCAAACAGCAAACGTGACTAACTTTTTTTTCTGTAGTTGTGAAGTTTCTGTTTAGGAAGGTTTCCCCATTCTGAATTCAAATCAATAGACCAAACCATCAGATTTACAACAATATGTTGCTTTTTTGTGCTGCTCCATAAACCTGCTTCTGTGTTCGTTGCAAGCATAACCTTTATGCTTTTGTTTACATTGTAGGAAACACAGTTCTAGCAATGAGGTTTGTTGTTTTGTTGTTTTGTTTTTTTTTTCATTTAACTCTAAACATCTTTTTATTTTGTTAATTTTAAAATGATTAGGTTTTGCTATGTTATGTTTTTAAAGATATTTTTTGCATACTGCTGCTCATATTTCAATAAACGAAACAGAAAACCCACAAATTTGACTGGTCTTATTTATCTGTAACTCTGTATGTCTCAAGTGTTTTCCAAGGGTTAATTTATCACTTGTAACTCCTGCTGCTGATGCCTCTTCGTGAAGTCCTTATACTGTAATATTTTAAAATACTTTTCTGGAGCTTTTTGGTAATGCAAAAGCTGCTTGGAAGCAGAGACTAAATTATTTCATTACCTTATTTAAGAGCTGTTCTTGTAGAATGCAGACAGCCCAAATGGTGTCAATTTCTTAGGATTTATAAAAATTATTTTGGGAGTACACAAAAATGTTTATCTGTAAGACTTCAGCAACAATTTGATAAATATATTGGGGGTGGTTGGGGTTTTTTTTAACCATAACATTTTTTTTAACAACTCATCATTTCTGAATGTGTCGAGCTTTGAACTGCTGAGCAACAGCCTTTCATTGAAATGAAACTCAATCTCATGAAACTCAAGGATTATAACAATAAAGTATAAATTTAGGAGCAGTTCAGTGAGCTGTGTATTGGCTTATTTTTTAAGATTGAGGGGAAGAAAACTTTTCCCTTGTTTGTCAAGATACTGCAGAAACAGAGGTTGAAAAGTAATTAGGGGGTTGCATTTATTAAATCTCTTTTTTTTGGCAGGATGAGTACAAAACCACTGAATCCCAATTCCACAGTGATAGATGGTTTGTTTAGTATAAAACTGAAATGAAAGTGTTGGTACAACAGCTGGTCTGGGCTTCCTGCTTTGGGATTTAATTTGGCCACCTGCAGTAATACTCTCAAATTCTTTCATATTCTCAATAATGAGCTTTTTTCCTCTGAATATGAGGATCCAATCACTCAGGTAATAATTTATTTTCTTAATTTCTCTCTTGATGCTGTTTTGTATCAGTATCCCCTGTACTGTTTTGATGAATTTGCTTCCAAAACAATGATTGCCCTGTAAAGTCCCCAGAAGATTTCCTGGGACAGTATAACCTGAATAACAGACTAATTTGTGAGCAAGATCTGAAAATAAGTCTTGCAGTGGCTTGTTGGCTTTCCAGCAACTCTATATGGACTTTAATCAATAGCTTTCTATACAAGTAAAACAAAAACCCTTGGTTATTAAAAGTTTTAAGTCGCTGTTTTATAGAAATGAAGAGGGTTTTGCTAATCTTGCTGGGGAATGTAGAGGTTTAGTAGCAACTCTGTGAGCAGCAAAAGTAACCTCTGAAATTCTTCATTCATGGGGTTGTTTTCAGAGTTAAAAAAAAGCTTTTGGGTGAAACAGCCCTTTTCCACCCCCTCTCCAACCTACATTGTTAAATGAGGCAATACCCATATGACAGGTGCTTCAGGGTTTTACAATTTCCAAGTGGTTTCATCAGGTCCTTTTTGAATATCCTGTTGTTCTCACCTGCCTTATGGGGCCACAGGTTCAAGGATTTCTCTAAGCAATGTTCTTCACCTCTGGTTGAGTCCAAATCCAAGGGAAACTCTGGTTTGGGATTCTCTTAATCCTCCTGTTCTCTAATCCTGAAGGTAAGTCTGCAGTTCCATCAGCTGGTAAAAGTGGTTGTAGGGCATGGGGGGGGGTGCATTTAAAACAAACCTTGCAGCCACTGGCAGCACAGAACATTGGAGTTCCAAAAATCCCACCCAGTCCAAAAGTTCATTCCAAACATCTGGAGGTGGGAAATCTATCCCAGCAGAGAGGCCTTGCCAGGTAAGATAAATATATGTATTTTTCAGTGCTACCCCAAGTTTGTGCTGGAGTGATCATCACCTGCATCATCACCTGCTTTCCTAAGGATGGCAAGAAGCCACATCCCAGCAGTGTCCCGAGTGGGATGGTCACACCTGATCCAGGACAAGCAGTTGTTCTTGGCCAATCCCACAGGGAGTGGTTCTGGGGGGACACCTCTGTTAAAAATACTGAAAGTCTTCACTTTAGTGTGAGAAATGAAGACACAAATCTATAGAAAATCATATAAACAGCGTGTTAAATTCTCTTTTATCCAGAATTTTGATTGCTAGCCACAGTGTTTTCCTTAAATGTACATGGCTGGGAAGGGTGGGTCATTTCCATTCTGTGTTCCTGCTCCTTGCAGGGCTCCTCCTTTTTCCCATAAGACATAGAAAAAAACCCCCCAAACTCTTTAACTTAGCAGCTCTTTTGTCCCAAGGCCAGTTTTATTTTGTTCTTAATAAACACCTTTTATTCTCTTTTTGAGAAATAACCGTGTTGTTGGCAGTGACAGAAGCTATTTCCAGGAAATAAGAAGTGCTTTGTAATTCAGCCACTCCTGCAAAGTCTCATTTTCTGAAGGGTTTTAGATGGAGAATCTGCTGTCAGCAAACTCCTGAGCCTCTCCAGACAGCTTCGAGCTGTGTGGGTGACTTCCACTTCAGACACAAAACAGACAAAATGGGCTCTTTTCTCTACAAGCCAAATGGAGACCAGTTTTTCTGAGATTTGAGGTGTCTGGTGGACAGTCTCACTCATAGATTTTTATAGAAAAAACTCTCCTTAAGTTTCCTGTAAGAAATTAGAGGTAAATACAGTATATTAAACATGAGAGTGCAAGCTTAGGAGTGAACAGGTTGTGTCCATGAAGATAATTCACCAGTGGTACTTTATGCACTGCCTGGGCAGAGGCTCAGCCCTGCAGGGAGGAATTTGGTGCTACCTGGAGGGCAAAAATGAGGAAAAGAGGAAGAAAAAAACTTGCAAAGATGTGACTGTAATTTGCTGTCTGGGAGACTTTATGGATTAACGTATTTAAACCAAACCTCTCTGCTTGTACCTGTAGTTTCTGGAAGAAACAACCTCTTAAAGACAAATGTGCTGTGAACACAGACCAGATCTCTCTTCCTTTCCTCTTCTCAGTCTGATCTATCTGCCAGCATTTAAAATGTTTCAAATATCAGGTAGATAAAGCTCCTGGCTCCCTAAAGGTGTAGCAGAACAGGCCCATGGGCAGAGCGTGGAGGGCACTGTGCCTTGGCACAGCAGAACTGAGCCCCTTGCCCAGCACATCCACTGGGGTCAGGTCTGGCCATGCTCTGCTGATGTGGAATATTTAGCTTTTAGGATTTATTCTTTTGCCTTGCTGTGCAGTTTGACTGACTTGTGAGTCCTCCAGGTGAGTCCTTTCCAGGCATCATGTGATGGCCATGTGGTGTGGGGTGTAAAAAAAACCCCTCAGCTCTTGGTTTTTGTCTGGGGGAAAGGGAAGTGCAGGAGGAAAAATGCCGATAGAGAAGCCCAGCTAGAATAGGAAATGTGAGAAGATGGGTCTTGCTGGGTCCCCAAAATGTTAATAAACCCAGTATTCAGGCAGAGCAATGGGATGAGTGAGCTCCTGGTTATGGGATTCTCTCTCAGAGGAGCATTGTGCTGGTGGCTTCTCCTTGGTTACTCAGTGCCAGTGCTGCACTGGATGGATCCAAACCCATCCATGGACTAAGAGATTAGAGCCAACAGAATGAAATATAACAATATTAATAGTCCATTGGCATGGTGGCATCAGATGTAAAAGGTCTTAGTGCTTCCAGGTGGAAGTGATGGGTTGTTTCCCTGGCCAGGAGGAGAGTTAGGACCTTATTTACCAGGCAGGTTTACCAGAGCACTGGGTATTTTAAGTGTGCTGATGCTCCTCAAAGTGTTACAGGAGCTGCTCAGCTTTTGAAAGCAAAGCAAGTCATCAAGAGTTTCCCTGAATTGGGGCCAGCCTGCCCTGTGTCCCAAATTTCTGCTGCTTTACTCATCCCTCCTGTTTCGGTGTGTTACCCACCTCTGGGCTGCCCTGAGGAGAAGCCACCAGGAAGAGGGAGGGCTGTGAGCGTGGAGAGGCTCTTTGGGAAGGCACTTGGAGAAAGTGGGATTTGCTAAAAGAGCCAGGGAATGGTGTGGTTGTGTCAGGGGCAGGGTGTGACTGGCAGAAGGGATGGAGAATCCAGACCCCATGGGTGTCCTGCACTTCATGAGCCAGCCCCAGCAAGGGAAGGAATCCCTCTGGGTTCCTCTCGTGTGCTGGGGGTTGGAAATGGGGGGTTTTTTTTGGTCAACTTGAATTCTGAGCCTGCTGAAGCAGAATTTGTCATGTGTTTTCTATATGTGTGTTTCCCACATTGGTTAAAAGTTGTGGCTGCCCCATCCCTGGGAGTGTTCAAGGCCAGGTTGGAGCAACCTGGTGTAGTGGAAGGTGGAGTGAGATGGTCTCTAAGGTCCCTTCCAACCCAAACCATTCTGGGATTCTCTGATTCTGAATGTCATTAATAGAATTTCTTCTGCAATAGAAATAATTCTGGATATTGATGAGAGCAGCACAGAGAGCATAAAAGCTTTCCCAAAAAACCAGCTAACACTCTCAGCACGACAGGTTCTTCTGGAGTATTGCTCCAATCAGACTGTGGAGAAAAATGGGATTATTCCAGAGTTATTTTTGAACATTTAAATAAAGAGTGCAACACAACATGTGCTCTGTCAGGTTCTGAGGCTTTTGCCAGCAGAAATTCTTAGCCCCACCTCGTTATGGCTGAGAGCTGAAAACAAGCTGTTGTTGCTTAAAAATAAATAAGAAATGCCTGATTTGATAAAACTTGATTTATTCAAAAAGGGCTGAGAGAAACACACTTGAATTTATTCTTGCTTTCTACATTAGAGTAACTGCCCGGAATTACACCAGTTAAATTTGATTCAGAGGAAATATTGGCCACCTGTAAAGGAATAAAATATTAAAACCTGTTATTTAGTAGTTTAACTTGAGCAAAATAAACCATGGTAACCAAGACAATGACATGGAACTGTTATTAACTGTGCAATTTCTGTGTAAAAAAAAAAAGCTTGCAAACAGACTCCTGTATATACACATTTTGTCTCTGTGCTTGAGTGCAAGCCTTATGAGTGTGTAATTGCATTGTAAAATCTCCTCTTCTGGATGAAATAAGTTATGTACATATATATTTATATACACACACAGCTCCTCTGTTGCACTCTGCAGGTTAAGACTGTATTTAGGGGCACAGCATCTTATACCATTTGAACCCCATTCCACTGACAGATGATCCAATACCCCAAACTGGAGCTAAAATAGGGTTTAGGACTCATTGTTTCTGAATAGCTGCAATTCTGCTGTGTTTTCAGCCATTGGAATCAAAAAAAAAAGGGGGGAAAAAAAAGAAAAGCCCTTAGCCCACTGTGTGGGAATTACAGATGCTGTTCTGGGGTTCATGCAGCTTGACCTGGAATTGTGCTGTAACTGCAGGTTTACAAGGAATCAGCCTCTATAAAACAGTGTGTCAGCTGCCAGGGTTAAGCAGAAGCTTTTAGAACAAAATCAGGTTTTTAATAATTTAAAAATGGTGGTGTTGAATCAAGCTGATGCCATATTGATAACTCATGCTTCTAATTTATATAAAGAACAAGGAGTGGGGATACTGTGCAGTAAAGCAAATATCCCTCTAAAGCTGTTTATGGCTTTCAGAAGTTCTCCACTTGGTGTGCTGAACTCAGAGCACTCTGCTCTCCCCTTTCATTAGTTTACATGGTATTAATGATATTCATTTTTCCCTCCCCACTTCTCCCCATCCTGATTATTTTGGTTTCATGCCGTGGCAAACGATTTCCTTTGTAGCTTATGAGAGTTGAAAACAAATTCCTTAAGTATTAAGTGTTTCACACAACTGGTAACTTAAAACCCGATGGATGATGCGTTCAGACATCGAAAACACCCTTAACAGAATGACAATCAAAAGTCTAAATAAACGTTTTTCATTTTCTCCCCCTGCCTGGCAGGCCTCCCAGGGCATCACCATGCAGCTCCAGCAGCAGTTGGGAGAAATGAGTCTGGAAAGTAAACTCATCTCCTCAGCGTGGGGCTGGGAGGTAAATCCACTCTGTTTGTTCCATTTGACGCTGCAGTTTCATAAACACGGGGAACAAGCTCCACCAGATGCCCAAATCAGAGATTGTTGTTAATACAATTATCCTTCTATGGCCACTGAATGGGTGGATGATGACATTTGCATACATATAGAGTTTAATCTGGAATCACGGGGCGGTTTTTTTTTTTGGTTGTTGGTTTGGGGGTTTTTTTGCACAAAACCGTATAAATTTGCTAAAGCATTCTCTGCATAACAGAGCTTTTTTATTTACAGCTACTTGGATTGGCAGACAGCTTATTTTTCAGCCGTGTCCTCCTCTGCCGGGGGTCACATCCCTTCGCTGGCACATGGCACTGACTCCTCGTGTCACAGGGAGCGCGGTGCCCGCTCCTGCCGGGCGGGGAGGTGTCAGACAGCTTGTGTCCTCCACGGGCTCCTCGCTTCCCTCAGCGATCTGTCGTAAGGAAGAGTGGCAAAGAAAGAATTTTTCAGCTGGCAGTTGATGAAGAGCACAATGAATGTCACGGTCAAGAGCAGAAAGAAAAACAGAATGATGTAAGTCACCAGGTCTGGCTTATTTATTTCCCCTTCTTTCAACGCCCTGGCTGTCGACATGTAAAGAGCAGAGGAGCTCACGGGTCTCGGGGTGCTGCCCAGGTAGGGGGTGTTGGTCTGAATGATTAGATGAGCTTCAGTGGCACTGGTTGAATTTAGCAATTCACTATACATGTTCTTGCTTAAATTTCCTCCACGGCAGGAGTAAAGCAGGAGGGCAAACGCAGTCAGCCTTTGGCATGGGAAAGAAATAATGGTCCTGCTTGCAAAAGGCTGCAAACCGGCCACATGTTGTCTAAAAGCAAATTAATTCACTTGCACGCCTCGGTGGCTTTCTTTGAAATCTTCTTGGCTCATATTTACAGCATTCATCCACAAATACGAATCAAAAATCATACAGGTACCTCGTGTCCTGGCCCTGGTTCCCCCAGCACGCCTCCTTTGGTGGGGAGAGGCGCTGGCTCATCTGCTGGTCAGCCGGGACGTGCTGGGAGCTCTGGGAATCTGCTGGGAGCCCCTGGGATGTGCTGGGAGCCCCTGGGATGTGCTGGGAGCCCCGTGCCACTGCTCCACCTGCATGGGGCTGGGGAGAGCCTCTTCCAGCAGAGGAGCCCCGGCTGGGGCTGGCAGCTCTCACTGTCCGTGCAGGGGAGGCACGACGGCTTTCCAGCTGATTTTCGGGAGCGGGATGCTCATAAATCCAGGGTTAAATGGCATCTGCGGGGAGAGGCAGCTGCCGCCTTGAGATCCTGCTGGATTTGCCGTCGCGGTTCCTGCCTCGGGAGGCTCCGTGCTGCTGAAATCCTGGCGCTGGGAAGCATTAGTTGACTTTCTTAATCCCGGAGCCGGCGGGAAGAGGCTGAGCTTTCTGCTTCAGCTTTCCAGGCGCTCCTTTCAATTGCTCTGAGAAAAAGAAATTTAAAAATAGTAATAATAATAATAATAATTGAGCGGTGTCCCTTTGTTCAGAAAAAAAAAGAAACACCAAAAAAAGCCTCCCTGGGAATGGGGGAGAGGGTCAGTTCTTTGGGAAGCTCCTCTGTGCCCTCGGCTCAGCCCAGCTCCGAGGTGGGAGCGTGCAGGGCTCTGTCCAACATGACTTTCCCCCCTCCAGGAGCTCCAGCGCAGCGTCGCTTCCCTCCGTGGGAAGGGGAGAAGTGCGTGGTGGTGCCGACCAGCTCCGCAGCCCGTGGTGCATCTGGCAGTGACACGATGCTAAAAAGGAAGAGATCTTCGGATAAATTCCCGTGAGTGCCTGAGGCTCTGGCTGGAGGTTTTGAGCTGGGGGAGGGTAGCAGAGAACGGGACAAAAAGAAGAAAATTGCCTCAAAACCTTCCTTTCTTCCTCAGACCTTTATTATTAAAATCTAGAGTAATCAATGTCTTTTTTTTTTTTCCCTCCTTCTCCACGATCCCCAGCACCCTCTCCAGCCTGACAATTACCATGTTAATTCTTTTTTTTTTTTTTTGCAGCAAATTGCTTTATGCTGCTATTAACTGCTGGCTGCTTGCCAGCTCCTCTCACATCTCCCCTGCATCAGATAAGCGCCGTTAATACTTTTATTTTAACTGCATTGCAACTTGAAAAAGGGGAGCTGGAGGCAAGAGGAGCGAGGGAAAGAGGAATAACTGGGCAGAGGAAAGGGTGAAACACCATCTCCAGCCCCACAGTGTGGAGGTTGATCCCAGCAAACACTAAAGCTGCTTAGGATGAGCTATTGCAGCCAACAGCCCCAGTGGTTTAACATTTCACTAATGTAATAAAAGTTTCTGCCGGGAGAGAGGGGGAATGAAGAGAAATCTTCTGGTCAGTTAGATTTGAATCAAATCAAGTCAAATCCCTGCCACACCCCCTGAGGCCCTGGCCAGTGTGTTCCTCATCTCCTTCGAGCTCCAGGTGTTCCAGGTAAAGCCCTTGTGCCTCCAGCAGCTCTGCTGGGGTGGCTGGAAGCTGTCACATCTCTGTCACAACCCTGTTCACGTCCTCCTGCATCCACCCTCAGGAAAACTATTACCTGCCTGCTTATCTCCAAGTCCTGGGGACCTTTCAATTCACAAGATTTTACTCTAAGGAAGGTTTTCCTGATTTTTGTTTCTCTCTCTCTCTCTCTCTCTCTTTTTTCCCCCCTTTTTTCAGCCCAAGTACTCTAATTCTTCCAGGATGGAAGGGGGAGCTTTTGCTGCCTTTACCCAGTGCTCCTCCTGGGGACACATCTCCTGCCTGCAGAGCCACAGTAGTTACTCTTATTTACTCTGGGTGGGTTCAAAGAACAGGATACCCAGGCAGGCAGCCATGGGGGCTGGAAAAATCAACAGAGTCATAAAAAAGCTAATAGAGTTTGCAACTGTCATGTTGCAATGTCTGCTTTCATGTCTCCTTGAAGTAAGAGAGTCTATGAGCAGCAGCACCACAAGGCTGGGTGTCTTCCCAGCACTATCCCACCTTCAGCTCTCTCCTCCCTGAACTGTTTCTTGAGCATAACCAAACTTTGCATCCTTTTTTATTTATTTCCTTTATTGTTTTTTATTAGCCTGTAGGGGAAAAAAGGAAACCAGAAGGCATTTGGGGCTGAATCCTACAAATAGTGTGGGTGGTCTTAATTTGCAGGTTCTCTGCAAATGTTACCAACTCTGTAACAGGGGGTAAAATACTACAGAAGATGCACATGAAAGTCATAGTCGGTGGTGTGTTTTGTCCCTGCACAGAAATGTGTGTTCTTTGGCAGTCCCAGGGTGCTCCACTTGATGGCTTGGAGTCAAACTGGGCAGAGGTGGAGAAGGAAGGGCTCTGCCAGGGGCTCCTTGGCACCATCCACCTCCCTCCCACGCCTGTGGGGAGCGTTCCCCGGAGCTGTTGGAGTTGTCCCTGCAGGTGGGTGACACAGTCACGAGTATGGGACGGGTTCCTGGCTGCTGGGAGAGGGCAAAGGGGCTGTTTGCTCTGCCAGGGCAGTGCCTACAGACACGGGGTGCCCTCTGAGCCTCCTCTTCCCACCCCTCCTCACAGGCAGGATGCTCACAGAACCAGAATCTTTAGGTTTCCCTTTTGCTCCTCCCAAGTGTTATCCCTTGTTCTGCCCCAGATTTCTGCCCCAAAGAAACAGTGGTTCAGCTCCAGGGCCAGCACTGCAAACTGAGGATTGTTGCTGATGGTCCTGGTCCAGACGCCCGACGTGGGGATAAATCCTCTGGGTGTTTTCCAGGCGCCTTGTGTGCAGCCAGGGAGCTCTGGGAGCACAGAACTCCTCCTGCTTTTTTGGCTGCCTGGCTGGCACTCACATAGAAACTGATGGGAAGCCTTGGGAGTAAATCAGATGTGTTTTCTGCAGCACTGTATCCAGGCTTAATCTCAAAACAGCTAAATTGCCATAAATAACACCTTAATTGCAAAAATAAGAGCTGATCCCTTCCCTTTGTTCTCCTTAATTTGGAAGAACATTTAAAGTCTTCTGTTCCTTGTAATTTTTCCTCATTAACTTATTTCTTATTTAGTAGTTTTGTTGTTGTCGTTCCTTGTTTTCTTTTTTAAAATTCTTTCCCAAGGCTTGTTTTGGGACTTAATGGGCTTGTTTTGTTAGATTTTATGTGCACTGGCAGTAGCACTGTGAGGACAAATACAGAGCCTCTGACACTGGCTGGAGTTTAATGATAATAAACCTTGGAGTGTTGCAACTTCCTGGAGCGTTGGGAAGCTGGATCAGTGGGGTGGCATCTCAGGGACAATCCTGGGGCTGGAAAGGCTTCTGCTTCTGCAAACCCTGGACAATCCTGGGTTTGTCTTCTGCCTCTCTGGGTTTGTCTTCTCTCAGCTACCTTCAAGGCTAGGAAATTTTGTCTCAGCTATGTTGGACCTTAAGGAGTTTGTTGATGGTGGTGGTGATTCAGTGGCAGTCCTGGTCCAGCCGTAGTGTGAAATAAATAATGACATAAACTATCCAGAGGTGAAAGGAGGGAGAGCAGAGCTGTGACCCTCAGCCCCACCTGCTGTCACTCTCTGGCCTGGCAGGATGATCATATTTGCTCAAAATCCTTCAGCCACCACCAAACCTGACACGAACTGGGAGTTGCTCTGTGTTCCTGCACTCTGTGAAAGGCAGGAGCCTTTCCCCATTCCAGGCTGGTAAATAATGCATGATCCCTCTCTCCTACGCTTACACAACCCCCACCACGATAAATATCAACCCAGGGAAATGAAAGTGCAAAGAAACATTATCTTTCCCAGTAATGCAACCATTTACAATCTGTGTTACGATCCTCCTGCTCTGCAGAGTGAGCAGCAGTCAGGGGGATGTTTCTATTAGCACACCAGAATGCAACAAATCACGGGCTGGAACTTTCCAGTGCCGCATAAAAGCAGCTTAAAACCTTATAAAGGAAAGAAAATGAAGATAATATACAGGGGTTATTTCCTCTTTTTAATCACTCCAAAGGAAAATACTTATTTCCAGGTGCCTGAGATTCAGTTATTAGGGGCCGTATTTTGAAGTGCAAGGCCATAAAATTTAACACCAGACACCTAACGTGGGGATCTTGCCTTTGGTGCTTAAATGTGGGGCAGGATGCCCGAAGAAATTGGCTCAAGTGCAGAGAAGTCTTGAAAATGTTTTGTTTCAGAAGAGCTTGCGTGTGCTGTTTAAAACTAACTCCTACCATTAGGTTTCTTGGGACATGTTTGCACCAGCTGAAGCAGGAGCATCGAGGAAGTTTCCAGAGAAGTCTGAGGCAGTGGGGTTGGAACTAGATGGTCTTAAGGTCCCTTCCAACCCCAGACATCCTATGATTCTATAACAGGGAGCCTGTGTGTGTTTGATCAGTGCTGTGTCCAAATCCTTTGTTCTTCTCTCAGTGGTGAGGAACGTTGTGATTCATCGAGGAATGTTCCATTGCAGGATGGGGAACAAGCTTCCCACACCTCCTGCCATCCCAGTGAGCTTTGCCACTGCTCAAGTGGATGTAGGGAAATGACTCTGGCTGGTTTTGGGAGCATCCCAGGCCCCCTGCCCTGCCATCCCTGCTCCAGCACACTGGGCAGCTCCACGCAGCTTCCGAGGGGTTTTGCAGGGAGAGGAGCTTCACCCATAAGGAAAAGTCCTTGTGTGGAGTCATGTGGATTCCCTCTGTCCTGACAAAATCTCTCATTTTGTCTTTGCAGCAGCTTTCCTGGTGTGTACAGAAGGCAAAGCACAACCTGATGGTTTCATGCAGCTGGGAGTGTGTGGGTGGGCACCCAGTGATGCTCCAGGGGAGGCAGCTTCAGCACACCCACACATGGAGAACATGAGCAGGAGGGTGTTTGGGAAGGGAAAGGAAAAGGTGTAATTGTAGAGAATGGTTGTCTTTGGTACCTCCTTTACACTTAAACTGATTTCTAGTCACACAACCCTGATTTGTGAACTGAGCTGGGAGCAGAAGGGGACACGGAT